CGTGTAGGGCTATGGCGCTCGACGTTGCTGTCTTCCAGCATCGACATGCCATTGGATTTTATTTATTCTGCACTCGCTACGCGGTGTCTCCTCCGCTATTATTTGATCCAAGCGAGCTGATCGCCTCAATATCAATGATAATGATGCAACTGTTTAAAATGATTTTACGAAATGTAGTACTTTGGTGGAAGGGGAACGATGACAGATGTATGTTATTAGATCATTTTAATAAACAAAGTGCTATTAAGAATTTTCTACTTGCTCTGTTATGTGGGTTTAAATGTCCATTTAAAGAGCCGAAGCAATTGTATTTGTATATACCCTGTATACCAGCAGTGTTAAAGTTACCGATAAGGTTCAAGGCTTAAGGAATAAGGACATTTTACTTCCATTACTTAACCTCGATCGATCATTCAATTTCCCGAAATGCGATAAACTTTTACAGCAAACGTTCGTCATCTACACGCCCTATCAATGACATCCGGTTTTATTACAATACGAGCACATTCCGTTCATAAAGATACATTCGTTTCATGCTAATTACATCTATTTTAAATCTGATAGTTATTTAAAAAAATTGAAGGGATAAAAAAGTACTAATTCGATTTACGCGTTTTAATTGTAAATTGTTTTATATGAAATTATTATATTATAAATTTTATATGAGTTAGTTTGGAACAGAGACTCAGAACAAATAAACCGTACAAGAATTTTTTATGCTTTAAGATATCGAAGTGCGGAATAGATGAATGCAATTGATTAATATCGGCGGAAATTCAAAGGCAATGGTTTTGTTGTTGTTTTTTTCTTAACTTTGTTTTCTTTTTCTATATTTCATTTTTCTTTTCTTTTCTTTTCTTTTTTTTTAATTAATTAATTGGTTAATTTTATTAGTCTGAAAATGTGATCTTAATACAAGTGTCAGCATCGGAATTCGAAATACACGCAAAATATGATATTTCGTGATTGATATAAACGAGAAATTAACTTATATAACTTTCAAATATTAAAGTACAATTGGGATTACGTAATGATGATGATAAGCAGTTGAATGCTGAAGTAATTATTGAAAGGTACGGTGAAGAGCTTATCTAATCGCTCTACAAGTCGTAACTCGCTTCTTGCATTACTGTAACTTTTTCGTAACACTGGTTATTCTGAAATTGAGTTGATGCATCTTGCAACGCTGCCTCAGCGTCATCGCAACGTACGTCATGTCGGCCGTACGCAAGATAAAATAATTGAATTTTTGGAAAATTATGCCAAATGCGCTCGACGGTCCCTTCGATTTTCAGCCATCCGTAATCTATCATTACACAAGAATTTCAAGCCAATTAATAATCGTTGGCACTAGCGCTTTTCTAACGAGTCGAATGTCAACTTCAAATTCAAATTACTTCAAATTCCGAGTAATTTTGATGATAGCCATTTATTAATTTAAGCCGCGCTCGTTTATGCGTAAATCATTAGTTGTTAGTACATGCTTTCTCACTAACTTACGCTCAAATCGCTCAAATTAACGTGAGCCAAGCAATAGGAAGCGGACTTTTGGCGACGAATGAACGCACACAACCATACAAAATGTGAGTATCCATTCCGACGTTACAACACCAGGTTCCGCGCTCGGATACCAATACTGTCTACCTACTATCAATCGGATCAATAAATAAATATCCACTCTATTTATTATACGACGCATATGATAATCTATTTGTCTTTTTTATAACATTAATTTCTTTTTTTTTTTTAATTTTTTTTTTTTTTTTTCCTTAATTTTTGTTATTGTTGCGTTAAATATATTTACAGAAAGTGGTACAAAAGTACAAGAGGATATGAGTATACAAGAGTACGAGCCGCGCGAATGTACAAAATAGAGAGGGGCGTACTTTGTAGAAGTACGGGGCCGTCGTCGAGTGACGAACTCGGGAAACGAAACCACCGACGCGCGGCGATGCATCGGATCCCCACATCGACTCCTCGGGGGAGCTCGCATTCGTTAAAGCTGCTGTCTAACCTAAATACTGTTTGTCAGAGATTTCAATAGGGGCGCGATCGCCCTTAAAGCTTCGTCTCGTGCTTGACCTTGGTGCGAACGGGGTGACTGGGGCGTAGGACGCCGCAGGAGAGCGACGTCTGGAGGTCTTCGCCCAACTCATAGGGCTTCCGCCAGCCCTGACTGCCCTCGGGCTTGGCGCGTATTTGGAGCTCCGAGTCCGTCTCCTCCTCGTTGTCGGCGCTGTCCACGTCACCTGAGAGCCAAATTATGAATCATTATGAATACGGCTGACTCCTTTACATTTTACAATCAAAGCGCAGCTTAATTACGAGCTTCGCCAGCCATGGATAATTCATGGATATTATCGACCGGCAATTACGGCTCTCATGAGAAAATATTCAAAGCACATCGTGTTTGCCAATTGTTATCGTATGCCGTCGCCCTAATTGATAAGGCACTCACAGAGGAAACACTCGCAGGGGAGTTGGTGGCTCGATAAATTGTACGTACCATCGGAGCTGTTGGTGGACGGCAGATAAAAGCGCGAACTTATGAACCTCGAGCCTCTCTCTCGTCGATCGTTATTTTTATTATGATATTTGAATTCTCGCGGTAACGTGTAGCTTCGCGGCAACGACAATTGACTGCCTTCGATGTCACTCATGTCCTCGCCTCCGTGACTCTCGTCTTTCGACGTCTCGTCCAAACCATTCTGATTGATGCACAACCTAATTTAAGAAACACTATTATGATGATTGTAAAGTAGTTTCTCACACTCAGCATCAATAATTACAAAATAATTTGCCAAATTAAGTAAATGCCTCCATGGCTCGAGCTTACAAAAATATTTATTTTTAAAAAGGTCGTTTTGGTTATAAGAGAGCCGATACAAAAACAAGCGGACATTATTAATGCCGATATGATTAGTAGAATATTATTTTGTTAAATGATTGTACAAATTTTATGCAATTAATTGCGGAAGTGCGCGAGTGTATTGTTTTTTTATTTTTATTTTTTTTTTTATTTTTTTTTTTACGTCGGTATAGCATCCAACCCGTTCGATCATTTACTTAGCAAAAACGTAATGCAACATTTTAACAAATAATTCACTATTTTTTTCACAATGTTTCATTATTTTAACCTTCAAAGCCATTAGATTAATTATTTTAGCAAATTATTGCATTCCAAACGATAATGACACGTTTATTTATTATCTGGCGGTTTTACCACATTAGCTGTGCCCGAGTATACAAACGTAGTTTTTGCAAAGCGAATTCTTTTCTCATGATATCGATGATAATCGATTTAGCAGAACGTATAATATATACAACATAATTATTTACTAAGATTAACGTGTGGTATTGAATAAAGTCGCTTGCTATCAGGATAAATTAAATATTATAAACGCCGAGTTAATTACAATTAGGAATTTCACATTTATTTGATAATTGTCGTAGAAAATTCATCCAAACGTTATCCCAATAGAAAACTATAATCCCCAATTGGAATGCTATTTGTTTGATAATTTAACATAAAATCTAGAGGGCTAGATTGTTCATAAAAGACTTAGAAATGAAATTTGGTGTAAATATGGATAAATTTTACAACAACAAAAAGAAAAGTGGCATTAATCGAAGAAATACGTCACCTGTGATTCGCGAGCATTGGCGGACTCCAGTGCGGATAATCATAGGGCAGGCACCTCGGCGCCAACAGAATCTCGGGCGTATCAACCACCTTCTTCGGGGACCTCTTCCATGGACTGGTAGGATGTGTCGACTGGTAATACGGAGAGGACGGCGGAGGCGGTAGGAGGCAGTGCATTTTAACCGGTGGCCACGCTGTTATCGTACTGCCATTCTGACCGGGCATCGACGGATTCGAGGAGGCGGAGAGCGGCGACGTCGGCGAGGTGTGAAGCTTCGTATTCGGCGGTGGCTGCTGGTTCGACACCGATGGATTCGACGAGAACGAGGAGGTGGATGCCGAGGGCGGTGGCACCAGCTTACCCTCCTTGATTTCCTCCTGGATGGCTCGTAGCTCGCGAAGCTGCTGCTGCTTCTTCTCGCGGAGCTTCTCGTGAATGAGGTTCACGCTTAGCGAGCCACCAATTGTCAAGTCAGACTCGTTTTTCTCTCGCGTCATCTCATCTTCCTGTCCACAGTCGTATAATTAAATATTGACATTTTAATTTTAGGTAAATTTTTATTTCCAGTCTTGCCACATCAACTACTAACCCATAAATAGCTTTAACTGTTTGATCAATTCGTTTTATAATAAAAGAACGTTATACACATCTACACCTCATATTATTATAACAAATTAAGGTATAAAATTTGAATTAAGCTTATTAAAGATAAATTTGGAATGGAATCGCACAGTCCCTCACATATAATTACAATTTCACTGATTACATAGACTATTAGCTTCTAATATTACTCCTTGATAGGAGATAAAGGAAGACAATAACTTATTTTGCATTGTTCTTAAAATAATAAAATAAACAGATTTTTATCATAAAAAATGTTTAACATTGAGAAATTTCATTATTACGATAAGGTGAATAAATAATGCCTAATACACGTACGATATGTTTGTTATACTATTTCAATTGTAATAATAATTGATCCTTATGAATTTTTAATCATATTTGACTTCCCATAATCGTCGTCGTGTAAGTCGTTAATTTGCTCGCGATAATCATCATCATCATCATCATCATCATCATCATCATTATCATACTCATTAGCATCATCGTTGATAGGCTAAATTCACAAGAACATTTTGAAAACTTACGTTATTTAAACTCGATATTGACAATGGCCTTTTCCAAAATGGAATGAGTTGCGGCCCATTCACATTTCCATTTGACCATTTGTTTGTATCCCCTAATGTTGTCATTGGTATGATATTGGCTTGTGGCTGCGTAGGGGGTGGTACAAAAGTCGTTGGTTTCTTTTTCTTACGATTATGATTAGTCACAGCTGGATTAGCGAAACGGCAATTGAATACACCGGGTATACCGCCATTATTCAATTTCACCTTTCGCATACCTATTGCATGATGTTTGTTGTCCAGGCCATTAGTTTGCTTTTCTTGAAAAGCATTCTGTAAATAAAGTAACGTTATTGGTAAAGTTCTTTTGCCTACACCTGCCCCCCCCCACACACAAATTGTCATTTCATATTTTTGTTCGTATTTGTACCTGATGAGACAACGTGGTTATTTCGTTGGTTCCATTCATTCTACCACCAGCTTCATATCGCAACCGCCTCACATGAAAAAATCTGTCGATGCATAGAACGTTACAGTATTAGCTAAGCACGCAACAATGTTCACGCAGACTTACGATAATAATAATAATAATAATAATAATAATAATAATAATAATAATAATAAGAAGAAGAAGAAGAAGAAGAAGAAGAAGAAGAAGACGAAAAACATGATTACCTGTAATAGAGCCCCATAAAAAATAAGCCACCAAAGAACAGTGCTAAAAGTATGAGAATTAAAGTAACTGGACGAGTGTGGTGATGTATGTCGCTGCCGCTAACACCAACAGCCCATACTCCCATAAGTAAACTATTCTCAAGGAACATAACAGAGTAGAAAATAACCTGAAAAAATAAAATATTATACTGACACTTAGGAATGATTTCTCTTAATTTTGCGGATCTTTTATCCCTATCGCCTGGGGCACTCGATTTATCTCTAAACTTTATATAACGAGATCTCGCGATAATATAATATCCACTAATCTCTGTTTCATTAAATAATCTCTGTCTACTATTATTTGACTGACAAAATGCTTGATACCTATCAAATAGGATGAAATAAGAAGCGTATCGGTTATCAACCTTGACGCGTGATAAATTTGTTGGCCACTATAGTCTCGTAACGCTATTAATAATAAGCTTATACCAATTAATTATATTATTTCAATAAAATACGGACAAAAAAAGTAAGAAAAAAGTACATATGCAAATGTACAGGCGCGACACTTCAGTCGACCAGTGGTATGCAAAACTTCAACCAACACGCGCACAAGGGATATTGAATCGGAAAGCCGTTACAGAATATTTGTCCGGTCACAATTCATTATTTATATCATCCAATACATGTGCTAATCGCCAATAATACAAAAACGCCTGCTTTAAAACAACTAATGACAAAAAAAAGAATAAAAACGCCCGTGAGTCGGTGGTTCGAGCATAAATCAATCAAACAATAAAGAATCAAGGGACATAAAGTTATTCTAATCTAAAGATAAGTCAACCGACCATCTTTTGTCGATGATTCGTCTCGTGAAGATTGACGTAGGAGAAGACGTAGATGAAGGCGAGCAGCGAGGCGATAAAGACCTTCCTAACGAGCGGCAACTTCTCGCCCCCGTGGAAGAGCCCGTCCGGAGTGAGTAGCAGCCAGGTGAGCATCGATAGCCAGTGCAAGGCCATGACGACGAGGAGCCACTGGCCCCCGTAGACCGATGCATAGGCGACGAGGGCACCGACCCTCGCGCTCACGGTGCCGAGCCTCCAGGCCAGCTGGGCCAGCACACCGAGCCAAGTAAGTACGAGTCGCTCGAGGTTCCTTAGCCTTGCGGCGCCTTTACTAAACGAGGCCACTGCCCAACAGACGCTCCAGAGGGAGAGGCCCGCGGAGACAGCCGTTAGCTCCGCCAGTTTCGTATCGCCGGACTTCGTCGGGCGTACCGAGCCCTCTAGCTCCAGCTCGCTCGGAATCCCGACGCTTCCGCCCAGACCGATAGCAAGTAGGTACACCTGGAGCAACAGCATTGGCGCTGCCTCGCAAAATGCGTGAATCAACCTTAGCACGCATAGCTCACGCACCTGCAAGTATGCATTATATTTATTTACGAGGACAATTATTGATCGATTCGGCTCATTACTATTGACAATGAGATTATTCTAAATGAAAGAATAGCGATAATCGTGGGTAAAGATTGGAGACGATGTTTGCACTTTTGCGCATTTTATTTCAATGATAAATTTTATAGAAACGCAAAACTCGAAGGCTCGCGTCTCCGTTATATTAACAATGAATGACAGTCAATTTACTTTGCTTTTGTACGGATCGAATGATTTATGTGAATCTACCTTGCACATCAATGAATGTCTTTTAAATTCACAAGATTATATGCCTTTTGTACTCTATTTATATGCTCTTGAGAATGAGAGTTCAGACTCGCGCGAGATAACGTAATGATAAATATTTCGAAAGAAGAAGAAAAGAAAAAATTATTGAAGATAATTTTCGAGTCTCTGTTTGATGGAATAAAAATTTAAAAACTCATTCGATTAACATAGTTATATACGCGTGCATAGACACAGATGTATTTGTCATGATATATATATATATATATATATATATATATACATTAGAGAGAGAGAGAGAGAGAGAGAGAGAGAGAGAGAGAGAGTGTGTGTGTGTGTGTGTGTCGAAAGAAAGAAAAAAGAAAGAAAAAAAATAAAAAAAAAAAGACTAAAGATATATCGTAGCACAATGAAGGATAAACATTAAATTTCAAATTTTAAAAATGATAAAGTTGTACTTTATGCCAGTTAGAATTTTCTTTCTATAACAACTAATATAGTCAGTCCTTAAAATAATATACTTTATCAATTTTTAGTTAATTAAGTATAATCTCAAATTTTCTATGCATCCCGGTGTCTTATCAATAGTTTGTTCATATAGAATTTCCGCATCCGTCATATTCCAATGAATTCATTCATTCGCAAAGATTTTCTATTTGTTTAGCTAATTAATTGCTTCAACTCTTTCAGTAAGATTGATAAATGTCCGCGTAACGGGAGAAAGTGTAAATATATTCGTTTAAACATTGTCTAATGATATTAGACGGAAAATTGCATAATTATAATATTTAAGTAAACAAATTTATTGCAAAATTAAATGAAATTCATTAAGAAGGGAATGTTAAAATGATAAATATTACGAATTAATAAGTTTTAGCTTTTTGCGAGTGACGCTCGTAAACGCTATACTATTATACACTTTACCACTAATCATGCTAATTCATGCAATAATCCGTATTATCGTCTGTGATTTAAAGTAACCGATTTATTTGCATTTTGAGATTTAAATAAAGTAAAACTCACTTCGTGCTTCACATAAGTCAGATCAACGGGAATGAACAGCTTGAAATATCGCCATAAGACTCCGATTTGCGTCGTGTGAAGTAAGAGTACGCATGCTAACGTCCAATTGGCAGTCTTCTTTTCCCCATTTATATCACAGCCTGAGTTACTATTATTTTGTAACTTGCCTCTCGCCCCCCAGAAATACCACTTGATGCTTACTATCTGCAATACGAAATAAGCATCGTTCAAGGGCTTCGTCTATTATTTAGAAGAAACTTTAATTATAAAATACGCAGTTTATTTAAAAAACCACTTTCCATCGTATTAACAAATATGTTGATATTGATTAAAAAAAAAAAAAAAAAAAAAAAAAAAAGAAAGCTAAAAAAAACAAATTATTCTACGAAATTTACACAGAATATCATTTTATTTTTATTCTCTTATTTGAATGAGAATCCGGAGAATTATTTTATCCTTTATTAAATTATAAACCAGCTAATCGCGTCATTAAATGTATTCATTTCACGTAGAAAGTGTAGTTTGTAATATATAGTATCGTTTTGTCAAAATTTTCTCAATAACTCGGATGTATTTTAAGATTTACTTCACGAAGCATCATACTTGATCGATTATATAATAAAGATACAGGTTTCACATATATCCGTTTGTCGAAAATCGAAATTTACAATTTTCACTTGTTACAATAGAATAATTTTAATATTAATAACCGTAATAGAAATAGTAATGTGCAAAGCTATTAGCAACATTATAATAAATCGACTTTAAAGAGAAATTATGACTAATTGATTATATTTATAGTTGATTGATTTATTCATATATGTTGATTTTTAGGGAATATTAATTGATGAATTGGATATACTATTTTGGCTATAGTGATTGAAAAGAAAGAAAAAGATAAGAAAAAAAGAGGGAAACTTCTTTTGGTTTTTCTTTTGGCTGTAAAGAGAAATTCGCATCTTAGCATAGAAAGTGTGGAACGCGTGTTGTCGATATCTCTCGGTTATAGAAAAACGCGTTCGCGCTATCCTTCTCCCTCTACCGTCGTCCGAATTTCTATTGCGGAATTCTAATGCAAAAGTTTGGGCGTTCATCTTTAAGAAAAGAAATCTTCGTCCTTCGTGTATTAATTATTGGCATCGGCCATTAGACGAATAAATAATACGAGTCACCGCGCCACTTTCACCTCTAAAATCTTAATCTCGCGATAATTTTTTTGTATATTTGCATATCCAACAAATTAACTATTATCGTGTCTCGCTGCGTTTCACGTTTAATTTCACGACCAATTGTGCGCCCGTGGTTCGCGAGGAAAATGTCACTCATTAGCCAACGAGCCAGCCCCTTTCCACCATTCAACAACCACACTAAGTACTCGCAAATTGCAGATTGTAAATTGCAGAGTCTCGTTTAGCGCAGAAGTTACGTTCGCATCAACATTTTTAATGGCGTTTTGCCGCTGCCGAATAGTAACGTCTCAATAAAGTTTCGCGAAAGAGGTTGAATGGGCTTTTGGATCTTTTGGAAACGCGAGGAGCGCGCTTACGTTGGGTAAAAGAAACAAGAGAAGAGGGGAGGACGAAGAAAGGCCCGTCGAGCTTGAAAATCCGCGATCCGCGCGCTTAATCATTGGCCGAGTCACGATCGCTCGAGGCGCAGCCGAGGACAGACAGATAAAGACGAAAAAAAGAAGATGAGCAAAAAACAGAAAAGAAAAATAAAAAAGGAAACAAAAAAATAAAAAAAATAAAAAAAAAAGAATGACGCGGGGGAGGGAAGAAGGAGAGGCGAGAGGAACGTCATACCTGCGACACGAGGAGCGACGTAACGACGAGGACGGCGCTCAGGGGGAAGAGCGCAGACGGCGTTGCAGGGTGATAGGCGAGCGCGTAGGTCATGGCGAGGTCGAACACGACGTCGCAAAAGTACGAGGCCAGGGAGATTATGTTGAAGAGGACGTCGCACAGCGGCAGGAATTCGTGCTGATGCTGATGCTGGTGCTCGGCCATAATAATGGGCCTCCGTTACCCATTTGGACACTACCGCCTTACTCGCAAGCCGAGCCCATGACGATGCCTATGTCGATGCCGATGTCGATGCTGTTGTTGATGCTGCCACCGCCGCCGCCGCTGTTTCCACCACCGTTGCTGATGCTGCTGCTGCCTCTTCTCGCTACGACATCGTAATACAGACACATTCGCATGCAAATTGGAGAGGACTGGTGTCGTGACAGGGAGGGCCCGTGCATTTTTCATATATGCGTGCGCGCGCCACCTCCTCTCACTCTCTCTCTCTCTCTCTCTCTCTCTCTCTCTCTCTCTCTCTCTCTCTCTCTCTCTCTCTTTCCTCTCTTACACGGGCTCGAATACGCGCGCCCGCACGTACGCACGCATACAATGTATAACCCTTGATGCGATGCGACGCACTTGAGACGAGGAATGCCAATGGTATCCAAGGCCCTCGGTATTCTTATGTTTACGTTTACGTTTCGCGCCATTGACTTTTATTCCTTGTTGTCTCTTCGTTTCAGCGAAGCAGGTCTCGTCCACGCGCGCTCCTTTCTCCTTGCCCCCCCCCCCCCGCTCCCCCCCCCCCCCCCCCCCCCCCCCCCGCCACCTTCCACCCACACCACCGTGAATTGGTCGCCGACATTCGTGCACGATAAGCCGAACGCGATATGGATCTGCCGTTAAAATTCACGAGCTCTGTTGTTACAATCGTTAATTTCAATAGTTGTATCCTCGTAACAATCGGTCGTTAAATAAGAAAAACGGAGAGCGACTACCGTTTACGCGATTCTTTCGTTATGTACATCGCGGCGGAGCGTTCGTTTCGCGTTATCCCCGGCCACCTCTCTAACCCCACCACTACCCATCGCCGCTGCCAGAGCCGCCGCCGCCGCTGCCGCCGCCGCCGCCGCCACCACCGCTACCATCGCCAGCACCTCCACCACCACCACCACCACCATCACCACCACCGCCGCCGCAGCCCCGCGGCTACATTTAAACATGCTAAATGAGTTGAATGGACTGTGGCAGCAAATGAATGAAGCCTGGAATTCCAGGCTCCAGACGGCCAAACGAAGACTCCATTAGCTGCTCCCCGTCCCCGCGGCCAGGTCTTTATGAAATTGGCATAGCGCGGTGGGGAAAGCAGGTATCGGGTTTTAAATTATCGCGTGTAACCGCAAATACATTTGAGCGACAGCGAGGACGACAAGACAGATTTTTATGTTGGGCGCAAGGGGTGGCGGCAGGCACGGGCCGTTCGTCACGGAAGCGTTGGTTGGCCATCGACGGTAGCATTCGTCTCGCGAAATGAATCGCGAAATGAATCGCGAAATGAAATGTTCCTCGTGGACCCATGACGAATTCGCGAAAACTAAAGGCACCGCTCGGACGAGAGTCCCCTGATCTTTTTTAAAGTTGCCGAGGCCCTCGAGCGCGACTCCCAAGGATCAAAGAACAAAAAACAAGAAGAAAATGGTCCATTGTTAATGGCAAGGAAGGGGGGGGCGAGGTGTACGTGCGGCAACGCTAATCGTGTCTAAGCATCGGCCAATGTCATTTGCGAAAGTACCGTAGCGAGAGGAGGCAACGTAAACAAGTGAAGACCCCACGTTTGTCAGCCGATTCGCTCGCGCGCCGACGAAACCGACGCTCCCGCGAGTAAGGACGCATACGCGGATTAAACGCTTATACGCGACCCCCCGCGGTCTGCCTCCATTATCTGACACAAGCGCGGTTTTTCAAAAGAGGGCAGACGATTGCGAATACCACTGCCAAGGAGACGACTACCAGAGAGTGAGTGAGCGATTAAATGAGCGAGTGAGTTTTAGAGAGAGAGAGAGAGAGAGAGAGAGAGAGAGAGAGAGAGAAAGACAGAGACCCATAAAAGGCAATCGTAAAAAGACTTGTGCGATCGGCTAGTACATAAATCCAAAGAATCGCCGCGCGCGCACACACACACATGGAGGCGCACGCAAGCTCACCGAGGCCGACAGCGAGAGAGCGCGACGAGTATTATAAAAATATGTGCCGATGCTCACCGCATTCCACGCATATGGCCTGATGGCTTATCGTCGGCCGCAAGGTTCGCTCGGCCTCGCAGCGAGGCTTAGGTTGGCCGACCTGGGACATAGTCTCCTTCCTTTTCGCTCGCTCGCGCCCGTCCTCCTCTCTTCGGTCTCTGGAATGCGAGGAATCTCGTAGGGCAGTCGCACCGCCGCCAGGCCTACCAGCGCTCTCCTCCTCTCTCGGGGGCCGCCTCTTCCTCGTGGACGATCCTCCTCGTTCGAGAGCCCGTGGACCGCGCGCTCGTCAGAGACCGACTGCCGCGAACCGAGCACCTTCTGCCCCTAGTCCCTACTACCTTGTCCTCCTACGAATGGACGATCGGGGGGCGGGTGGCGGGGCACTGGGTGAGGCGGGAGGTAGAGAGAGGGGACCAGTGTCTAGTGCGCCACCACCTTTCCGCCGACGCAGTCCTCCGAGGAATGCGATTCCTCTGCACGCGCGCCCAGACTCTTGCCTCTGCGCTCCCTTACGGTAAATCGGCCACTCATCTCTCGCGACAATTTCTCTCTCTCTCTCTCTCTCTCTCTCTCTCTCTCTCCCAGTAACGTCGTCATCTCCTCGGCCTTTTTATATTTCGTCCTCTCTCTCTCTCTCTCTCTCGCTATCCAGCTCCTCATCCCCTACCCCTCCGTGCCTCGCACCGCCCCAGTCCACCCCACTCCACCAACTCTCCTTCGCACTCACGGCACTTTTCTGTCCTTCTTTCTCGGCTTTCGCTGCGGGAACGTCTCGCGTCGTCTTCTTATTTGGATTCCGGATTTTTCTTGCCTTTTCAATCTCTTTTTTTCAAATTTTTTAACCCGTTCCTTATACATAAGTTATAAGTGTTATCCTACGCATTTAACGAGCCTCTACTATCATTCTTTTTTCCCTTCCCTATTCGTCCTTTTTGCTTTTTGAGAATTCGTGCTTTTTGAACGCGCGCTATGTGCGTCCGTTGTTTAAGCGAAGCCAGATGCTTTATGGTAATAGTGATGTCTCGTGTCTCGCACGATGATATCTTCCAAACGACCTTATTTATGCATGATTCATTCGTGCTGCGATCGGCGACGCCATCGAATCGAAGTCGACAAAACGAAAAGTCGCTTGCATTCTATTTTCATAGGCATACTTTCGACCAAGGACACCGATTTTTAAAATGCATTGTTGTACGATAATATTTGCGACTCGGGACCGACGCGAGATTAATGAAGCTGCGTGCCAATACCATATGCATTAATAATTCAAAAATGCGCATCGGCAAACATATTTGTAAGTGTCGCTTATTCGCTTATAGTAAAGCAGCGAATTTTTTTATAAATCGTACGCAGCTTATGGGAATGACGATGATTATCATTATAAACGTTTAAGACTGTCCGTGTCAATGAGCAACGTTATTTAGTTATTTAAATTTGTTATCAAGCTGTTAAGGATTTTTTTTTTTTTTTTTTTTTTTTAATTCACGTGTAACGTTCTACTACTTGTTGGCGTACAAGTGTGATGCTAAAACATAATATCTGGGGATGAATATTCGTTGAAATAATTGAAAAGAATTACGTTGCATAATTATGCAGTAGATTCTTGTGAAATTAATGAGTTGCGATGTTCATGTTCAAGAGACAACAAAATACATTTAACATAAATTCATTTATTTTCATATGTACAAAAATTCACCATCCTGCATTACGCATCGTACAGTTTGTTTAAAAATATAAGTATACTTCCGTCAAATGCGTATTCTAGAAAATAATTTGAAAGAAAATAAAAAATGCCGTTATTCGAAGACTTAATGATGCTTTTCATACAAAATTTACAGATATTAAAATTATAAAATATAAGAATTACATTTCATGACATAAATATATATTATGTAAATATTTCAAAAAAAGAAAAAGAAAAAAAAAACAATCATTGCACATGCCGTAAAAATTGGTTCTTTTGTACAAAATATATATATACATTCACAATCTTAAATAATATATGCTAAAATTACATACTCGTTTGCATATTAAATTATTCAGGTTGGAAAAACAACAATCTTCAAGTCTATAAATTTCTACGATCTCCAAAACTTTATACAAAAAAATTTACAATACTAATGAAATATCTTATTGTTTTTGCTCCACAAGTACAATTATTATCTAACAAGAGCTTATCTTACTCATCTCATTCAATATTAACGAATCAAACGAGTATTACCGTAAATGCAATAATCAGTGTCGTACAGTTATACTTTGTATATAATACGAATATTATCTTAAAATTCCAAAACTTAACAGAGATTTTTAAAAGTAATGTAAATTATTGTTTATAAATATAAATTTTGTAAACATTAGTTGTGCACAAATGTTACTTGCCATTAAATTCGTTTAAAATCTTACAAGTAATAATATATCTTACTGCTATTAAAATATTAATAGTGGGTATACAAATTTGAAAAGATTTTTCCAAATTTTTAACAATTATATACCTCAAATTTTTATATATTCTTTAAATAATGTCGACGTTTATAATACGATTTCATTCTTAAAGTCTCTGGTCAATTCTTTGTGCGGCAATATAATTGAATTCAGCAGTATTTTCTCGGACGCCAGACTGACGTAGGATCCTAGAATGTAAAATTTTATCTTACTTTTTTATAACTTTAAACATTATTTAAAAGTAAATCTTTATCAGCAAATTTCAATATTAAAACGTTTACTATAAATAATTTACTATAAATTTATATATATGTGTGTGTGTGTGTGTGTGTGTGTGTGTGTGTGTGTGTGTGTGTAAACAGTTAATTAAGCGTGATGAGTAGATATTTATAAATTTTTTAATTTATTGATTATTTAATTTGCAATTTTATCGTTCCGATTAGTTATTTTCATATTTTAATCTCTTTCTACTTTATAGAAATAAACAGAGTACTTATACTTGTTTGTCACATACTTCATGTATAGCAAAGAAAATTTTTGCTGCAAATTGCAAGACTTTCAAAATATCGTAAATTTTCGTTTTCTTATAGCATTTAAGCAATTCATATCCATTCTACGATTATTATTGAAATTGTCATACAATCGCCGAAAAAAAAAAAAATAAAATAAAATAAAATAATAACTCTAATAAGGATATTATTGACTGTTTGTATTATTATTCTTATGATGAAAATGATATGCGCCGTTAATTGAAAATAATTTAACGGGTAATTTGCTATGATATTAGAGGATCAATTACCATTTTTTTAAATGTATAAGCAAATTATGCTTCGAAAATGTAATATGTCAATTGTGACAACAAAATGTAAACGTTGAGTTATGCGAATAAAATCATCGTTAAAGTATACAACTATTAATCATCGATATGATATAATTGTACTTAAATGCCATATTATATATATATATATATATATATATATATATATATATATATATATATATCGCGAAGGAATAATATTGAACGCAGGTAATATTCTAACTGCATTTAATTAGAATAATGAAAGTAGAGGAAAGAATTTGTCATTTTAATCGTCAGCTCGGCCATGCATTGCCAAATAATATATATTTAGCAAACCATTATCTACAATGCCACGACACCATTTACAAAAGTTTGACAAACACCTCGTGATATTTGTCAATCGATTGCACGATGCGCACATTAAATATTACCGATTAATAGGATATCGGGAAATTGCTTCCGATAATATTACCATTAAACACAACGCGCGCATAATCGGAAAAATGACAAATCCTTCGGATCGGCACATCGTTCGACACTCTCCCTTCAACTAATGGCGAAAGTTCGTCTTAACGATGTCGTTTTGCCTCCCCAAGTCCGAATAAACAATAAAAGGTAAATAATACAAGAGCCATGCAAAAGTTACCGAGTATGGTAGCCGAGGGATTGAGCTGTCCGTAGATGTTGAAAAGCGGCTGGTTCTCCATCTTCGCGAATGGCTTGTCGGGGTTGGGGTCGCAGGGCGTGCCCTCGACACGCGCCCATTCGCCCACTCGACTGTCCTTCCCGATGATGCTATATAGGACGATCGAGTGCGCCTGGATCTGCGCGTTCTCCATAACGATAGTCTCCCGTATGCGCACACCCGCGCCCACCGTCACGTTGGCGCCGATGCTCACGTTCGGGCCCAACTGCAATATTTATTTACGACCTCGTACACTCACCGACACCATCATCATTACCATCATCGTACCCAAGCCCTTCCCCCGGGCTCCGCTCACCGGATCACCGTCCAATCGAGCCTTTTATTCATTTTCGCGCAACAAGAATTCCTTCTCTTCTCTCTTCTCCCCCCCCCCCCACTTGACCAAAGCTCTTTTCACTTTATTCATTCTATTTTAGTCGATAATTAAATTATTACCAATGGGACTGCTATTGTTTCGGTCGCGGGCTACTTTTTTCATCATCTTGATTAATAAACGGCACTGACTAAACTGACATCGTGTTGTGAAATTAAAAAGTACCTTCTTCCTTTAATCGTATATCATGAATTTAATGCGATAGATTGTAGATGTAATTTACTTTTGCCATCTCTATAGTCGCTTCTTGTCTTTCCTACTCGCGCGTTAAACAATCGATCATTTTCCATAAATGGCATAAATTATTTGTTTAATAAATGACTCCGATCCTCTTCTAATCATTCCGATATTTTTATAATAATAAGGCTGGAAAGTTTTTTCTCTCTCATTTTTCATTTATTTACTTATTTATTTATTTATTCAATGATTTATTTAATATTTGATAATTCAAGGACATTTTTGAAAGACCGAATAAGCAAATAATATTTTTCGTAAAATACGTCTGTCTATTTACGAATAGGAATGGAAAAAACGACATTTAAAAGTTGACGATCAATCGTAAGTTACTTAATATCTTTTCTATGATAAAATAGAAATAATAAAAAGTTTACTAAAATTTGTTACAAATATAAAGATTTCTAAAGTTATTGTACTTCAAGTATGATAATATGTGTATGATAATACAAACAAAAACAAAACCAAAAAAAAACAAAAAAAAAAAAACAAAAAAAAAAATGGTTTAATAAATTAAAGATGTAAAGATAATTCTTCTCCTGAATTTTTGAAACATATAATTAATTAGATTAAAACATGCTTGATTAATCATAATTTCATGTTATAAAATTGTCACTCGAAGCAGAGTTAGTTGAGTCAAACATTCCAATAAAAGTAAAGGAGAAAATAATTCTTATTAGTATTTACGTTCTTACTAAAGTAACAATGTAAAGTAATAAGGTTACACGTATGTTGACATTACCATAAGAATTACACAAATCCAGTTGATATTTAATAATGCAATTAAACATCGATCTTTGATTCCATCCGCTTTCTAATTCTATAAAGTAAAATAAATAAGTGAGCGTAACTTACAACAGCAGTGGGATGAATGGAGGCGGAAGGATGTACGTAAACATCATCGATTATTTGATACTTAATGTTCGAGGCCGATACTAATCGCTCTGGTTTGTGCAATCTGTAGAGTGCCAAATAATGGCGATTTACATAAATTGCAGAGCCTGCAGTTTTTACTTGTGACCACCAATTTTCAACCGGCAATGCAAATAGCTTTTCACTATTTATTAATTTTATCATAATGTCTTGTTCTAGCGAAATGTAAGTGGAGTCTTTACCGTAGCCATTTGTAATTCTGTTATTCACAATTTGGATTAACTACAATATTACAGAAACAATGTATTGAAACGCGTGCAAAGTATCTCACCTCTGTTTTTCTTGAGAACGATCGGAATAAATGACATCTGCCATTGTCTGAAAGATTTCATTCGATGCTACGTACACTCCGCAACTTATCAAGTTTGACACAAATGTTGAAGGCTTCTCTACATAATGCGCAACGCAACCTTTATTGTTAACGACCAAGCAGCCATAATTCAAGGCTTGTTGCCTAGTAGCTTCCGTAGACATTATTGTTAATAGGGATTTTTTACTCTTATGATATTGCAAAAGCTCTTCTAATGGAAAATCGGCGCACACATCTCCATTGAAGGCAAAGAAACTGTCCTCTCCACCTGCTCTTATCTGATCCCTAAAATGATACATCGCTCCAGCCGTACCCAATGGTGTATATTCTTGTAAATATCTAATCACCAAGCTATTGCTACGTGACATTTCATCGGCAAATGGTTGAATATCCGCAGCATTGTAAGAGCCAATTATTAAAACTTCAGAAACACACGACACCTTTTTACAAGCTTCTACATGATGTTGTATCATTGGTAAGCCAGCGATAGGAAACAATGGTTTTGGTATATCTAATGATAGCGGTCGAAATCTGGTCCCTGAGATAGGCATATAAAACTTTTTACAATAAAAGAATACTAAAATTGTAAATAAATTTGTTTACTACTACATCACAGAATATATATTTGGAGAATTACCTTTGGATGGGCCTCCAATGAGAATTACTGCTTTCATTCTATATAAAACTTTTATAAATATATATATATATATATATATATATATATATATATATGCGTACGTAGTCTCTCTCTCTCTCTCTCTCTCTTTTACTCTACACACATATGTATATATATAAAAAGAGAGAGAGAGAGAGAGTTAGAATGAAAAAGAGAAACTAAATAATAATAGAAAATTCAATGCTCAGAAAATTAATATTAAATTATTAAATATAATAAATATATTAAATATAAAAATTAATTAAAAAAGAACTATTTACTTATCGGACGTATTTACGATTAGAAGTACATTTGCGTTAAAGCACTTCGGTTAAATTAATTTCAGCTGGTTTGAAAACTGTCCTGCAAAAGCTCAATTTGATTCATAAGTTTAGAACTAAACGATTAAGTCAAAGCAGAAATTGTGCAGCTACTGTTAATAGTAACCGCACAACTACTATATTTATGACACACAAGTCCTGATGAACCTGCTGACGTTGTGTCTATACGACACAAAGGCACCACCGCAAACATATGCTCGGCTACGAAAAAATCGTGTTTATGTGAGAGGAGTCGTAAGTGTGCGCACGCATCTAAGCAAATGCCACGAGAGAAGCATAGAGGACGAAGGATAGTGACATACGTACAAGGTGACCTGAAATAAAATTCGACAATCAAAAGTATGCGATGAGAAAGAATCGATCGGATCATTGCGCTACCAAAGGCTGAATTTTTGAAGCTTTGGGGTAGCCGATGTTATATTAAATAAAATTCCAAGGGGGTTTTTATTAGGTCCGGACTTTTGTTACAATGCATATTTAGGAATTTATTCATTATCCTATTCCGTATAGGATGCAATTGATATAAGCATACGTGTATGACAAAGTGTATTTATGTTTAATCGATTAAGTGGTGAAAATTAGGTTTGACACTTAAATTACGAACGATTTGAAAGATTTTTTTTGCCACTACACGTTACCACCTCACCATTTTAAATATTATCTTCCCGGCTTTCT